ATTTTTCAAATTAAAAAAATAAAGAAATATTTAAAAAGGATTACTGATAAAATTTATTTTGATTAAAAATAAAATATATTTCGTTGACGATTTTTCAAATTAAAAAAATAGAAAATAATTTGATTAAATTATTGACGGATTAACGATAAAATTTAACTAAATATATAATTAATTAAAATTTGTCGCTAATCCGTCGGTGAAATGATATGACTAGGGGTGCTCATGGGTTGGGTTGATCGAGTTGAAGACATTTGAACAACTCAACCCAATGCTTGCGGTTTGGAAAAATCTTAACCCAACCCAACCCAAACCAAAGTGCAACCCAACCCGTACGGGTTGGTCAGGTTAGTCGGGTTAGTCGAGTTGGTCGGGTTAATACTTTGGTATATTAAAATATTCTTCTAACCTTGAATATGTTATTTCTCTACTCATAATTTTTTTTTCATCATCAACCATTTGATACAACTTATCCATATTTCTTGCGTATATCACATTCAGTTTATTTTCTCAATTTACATATGTATGTTCACACTTACTGAACATATATATAAATGAGTTATATAGAGATATGAATAGATTGAAAATATGTGTATATGAAAAGCATACATGATAGTGTAATTGTCTAATATATATATTAATAGAAATTCAACTATCATACTAAATCTAAGAAATAAAAGTATATCGGATTCATCGGGTTGGTTTGGGTTCAAATAATAGTAACCCAATATCAACCCAATACCTACGGTTTGACAATTTTACAACTCGATTAGACATCGGGTTGCTTCGGGATGGGTTATTTCGCGTTGGGTTGGGTGGGTTTCGTCGGGTTTTTTAGCACCCCTAGATATGACCGACATAATTCAAGCACGATCTTTCACATTTATTAACATGCTACTGTGTTAGACCATATGACAGTAGTCAAGTTAGCCATCAATTATATATAAGTAATTCATGCATAGATATCAATGAACACTAATGACGAATTTTAATTAATTATGTATTTAGTTACATTTATCATATTCGTCAGTAATTTAATCAAATTATTTTCTATTTTTTTAATTTGAAAAATCACCAATGGTTCTTTTTAAATATTTTTAATTTTAAAAATCACCAATAAAATATATTTTATTTTTAATTAAAATAAATTTCATCAGTAATTATTTTTAGATCTTTTTTTTAATTTGAAAAATTATATACGAAATAAATTTTATTTTTAATTAAAATAAATTTAATCTGTAATTATTATTTTTTTTTTAATTTGGAAAATATTTTTTATGTTTAAAGAAAATAAATTTCATCAATAATTTTTTTAAATATAAGTATTTTTTTGTCAAATGCAAGTATTTTTTTGGTATATTTGTTCATTTTATAGATGTAAGTATTTTTTTTTAGTTCAAAAAAAATTTAAGACTTAATCGTTCAAAATATGAAAGTCTTTTTCATATTTTTTTTTCATTATTTTAATATATCAACCAGTTTTATAGGCCATAGAGATATATCTAACATGCTTTAAAAGTCTAAGAAGTTATTTAATAGGTTTTGGAATGTCTAAGGAGTTATTTATTTCAAAAAGTTGTCCAATGACTTAATCATTCCAAACACTAAAACTCATTGAATTTTTTTAGACTTTTCCCTATATATTAAGAGTGATTGTAGATTTGGTGTAGAGCTGTTCATGGGCGGAAGGACCCGTTAAACCCAGTCCATCCAGCCCGTTAGAAATACGGGTCTGGATAATCATTATCGAGAAAATGGATGGACCCGGGTTTGTTCGTTAAAATTAACGGATGAACATGGTCAAAGTAAAAATAAATATGGACTGGTTCGTCCAACCTGTTTATATTTTATAATTAATATTTTATTACTATTAATTAAAATTATACTAGTATATTTTAAAATTAAATTATTAAAGTTATAGGATGAGACTCTTTGTTTATTTTGAGAACCCAAAAGACTAAGAGGTTGTTTGTTTACCTTTTAATGATCTCATTAAGTGGTTCAACTCTTAATTTTGTTTTTCATTTCTTTCTCCACTTGTTGAGATTCATGTGTTACTTTAATTGCTTAAAACTTTAATTGCTTACAACTTTAATTGCTTAAAACTTTAATTGCAACGATGTTTTTTCTTTACATTTTGGTTTCACATTTGTTAATTAATTGTCAGTGATCAAGTTTATAGATTTATAAGAGTTACACTTTTTAAGCCCGTGGGTAAGCCCAACCTATTTATAAAGTGGACAATGACAAGTTGTCAAACCTGGAAGAAAAAAAGGGCTTAGGTTTACAATGTTAGGCCTGTTAGACAAAAGAAAACAAGTTAGGCGGCCCAGACCCACAAATGATCACCTCTAATTTGGTGTATGTTTTGATATTTTTTTTGGAGTGAGTTACATGTAACACTCCATATTCCATATTTGTATATAATCATGTGTTTCATATATCAAGAAATATAAATAGTACACCTTCGATTCCAACAGTACAAGAAGCTATATTACAAAATTTACAACAAAAAATTTCCAAAATAACATTCTTGTACTATTCATCATGAATAGTCCATGAACTTCACATTCGTTATTCATATTGAATGTCTTTCATTATTCATACTGAATGTGGACGCCAGGAACACGTGTTGCGCTCTCCTTAGTCCCCTGGTTCACAACCGAAAATTTGTTTGCAATTGGCCTTCTCTCTATCTCTATCTCTCTATTTATTTGTCATATATATATATATGACAAATAAAATAAAAGCCATACAAACCAATCAATTAAGATATTTTCATAAATGATGACGGTTCATTTATTATGATTTAAATGTTTAACGAATATGACTAAAGTTTATTAATTATGATCAATGTTTTATATTAGAAATCAAAGTATGAATTTATGAAACCAAATATTCGTAAGGATGGATTAATTTGTATGGTTTGTTACACTTCCTTGATTTTGATCACCGAAATTTTTGCCATTTGTTATTAACAAATATACTAAAATTTAAACTTGTTATTACTTTAATGAGACAAAATTTATCTATTTACTTATAAATAAAAAACTCACAATCTACCGGTCCTTATAACCGATCTTTGTTGAACCGATCCTCCTAAGAAATTACATAACTGATTTGAATCATCCAGACCCAAAGTTGTCCGACCTTAACCAATCCCAAAGCAATACAGAACAATCCCTCTTAACCCGATCCCAGATGATCATCTCTACTCACCGGAAATCCCTCTTGCTTCGTAACAACTCTAGGCAAAATGTTATAATCAAATTAAAATCACAATTTTATAAGAATGTTTACCGTTAAGCCAGAGGAAATAATTTTTTAATCATTTATATTTTTAGTTTCATAGCAAACACACCGCTAATATGCAAAAATTTAGCAAAATGTGGGGATGACAAATTTTATGCAATATCTATAGTTGGTTTGCAATGAAATACATTTATTTGCTTGGGAAAAAAAAATTAATGAAAAGCGGTGAAAATACCCCTATGTCATGTTATACTTTGTGAAGGTGATGAAAGCGACAGGTCTTGAATGCATACCTCTACCAATTTCTGTGACCCTTCATACAATACTAGTTGTGTACTTGCGCAATGCGATGATCCATGAATTTTAACGATTTTAAAGTTTCATTGGTTTTATAAGATAAGATTTAACAATGATATATATTACACTTGGTCTTTACATATTAATACAATTCGAATAAATAAGAGTTATGGTTCCAATTTAAGACTATCGATGAAAAAATTGTATGACAGTTTAAAATCTAATATATTTAAAATCCAACATATTTAAATGACTCCACAAATGTGTTCGATTTACACCAAGAGCAAAGAACCAAGAAACTTGAGTTTTAAGATAAACACTCAAAACCAATAAAGAAAACTACAAATTTGACAGATCATAAGCCATGAAAAGACCCAAAAAATGGGTTTTAGAATGAAATTTCAACTGCTTACCCTCTTTCTTGTCCAAAAACTCATATTAAGGTTGAATGTATATATATATATATATTTCAAAAAAAACCCAAGAACATATTAATTCAGAACATATTATACAGTTCCATTTGGACAGCCTAACCTCAAAATATATAGTATATATATAAATAAATAACTATAAAAGTATAAATCGTAAATATTAAAAATATTTTTTCATGGTATATATAACATATAATAATATAATTAAGTCAAAAACTATTCAATATAGGACTCATTTCAAAGGTATTAACGAGACGATTATAATGGTGTAACTTGTTAAAGTAAAAATGTATTTTTTAAACATGTTTAATTGATATATGATTATGTATATTAATTTGATAAAAGTTTAAAATGAAACATTTAAAAGTAAAGGACATAAAGTAAATTAATTAACTAATTATAGGGGTATAAAGTGTAAATTTAAAAATATAATTTTAAAAAAATCTGTTGTGAGTGTATGTGAGAAGATGAAGGGGTGAAAAAATGATATAAATAGTATCTTGGTCATTTAGTATTTTAAGACTTTTGTTAAATTTGTTTTATAAGATAGTATAGATAAAGGTACATTCACATATATTATGTAAAAGTTATATTTCTCACACTTGTTACTGAAAATGACGAATTCGTGTTATGGTTAGAAAGAATTGAATCACTTGGTATTCATTTTTAATATTTTGGTTTTGCATGTTTCATAAAAACGGCTACACCACCAAGGGATTACTCCCTCCCTCTTGACTTATAAGAAAAACACAACTTTGCTCAATCCATAAGTAGAGTTTGTGCAACCCAAATTCGAATTTATTTCATACTCAAGTTACAAAAGCAAAGAAAGAGTATGTATGTGCTTTAAAATTAAGAAAACACACTTCTCTACCGCCTGAAACAAAAGGAGGCGGCTTAATGGGATATCGACTTTTTTTTAACCACGGGTGTATCGGGCCAACTTGCTGGCACCTCGACTAATCCCACAGGCCTGCCAGGAAAATCCTCAGTGCCTTGCAACTAAAACAAGGCAGCAGTTATTAATTTACCTTTGCTTAATTCTCATGGTTTTGGACTTCCTATTGATTCTTGAGCACTCTTTACAAGCATATCATAATTGATAGAAGCCAGCTGAGACAAGTTCTGTACATCATCAAAACAAAAGGATCATCTTCTTTTCCTCACAACATGCCTCTTGGTTGGAGGATATAGTTCAAACCAAATAGATTTAAGTAAATATTTTAGAGAATTATTCATAATATATAAGATATTCATTATTAATGAACAGATGCATGATATTCATGAATATTTAGGTATATTTATCATGAATAATTTATGAAATACTTGGTTCTTAAAATATTTATGATTCCTAAATGAACTTTTTTTTTTTTGATTAACCTGGATATCCAACCCGCTATGCGAGCAGACTAATCCCAGGGCAACCACCTGCTTTGCAAATAGCCCGGAGTCACTGCATTTGAACCTCCGTGGCCACAAGAGGATTTTTATTCCTTCTTGGATTTGAACCTGGACCTCCTGGTACTTTTGACCTTTGGAGCCAAGCTCAAACCAATCAGGCACCACCCTTGTGGTTTAAATATAAACTTCCTACTAAGGTAAATATGAACTTAAATACCGAGGGCCTTTGGTTTAAGAGCCCACCAACCTCAAGGTTGAGGTTCCGAGCCTAACAAAAGACAAAAAAGTGGCCGGGTGTGTGTATCGCCAAAAAAAATGTTACCTTAAATGAGAAATTACTGAATGAGTAATTCACATTGAGAGCTGAAGCACCAAATTCAGCCAGGTTACTACATTCATCACCCTGCTTAAACAACCAGAGGATTGGAAATCAAAAACAACTTCAGGTAGGCAAAACCAACAGATGAGATTCACCAACGGGTAGACTACAGAAGTGTCTTTACCCCCCTTAATGTACTTCATCATTAGATGAGGCGCCTGCGTCTTCATAAAAAGAAGCTTGAGCAAAACTATAAGAATCACATTGCTAGCCACCTTAACTTTTATAGAACATGGAAGAAAGGATGAATGGACACACTCATATCGTCCAGAAGAGGAAATAGTCAGGGAATAAATACATGAAGTAAAAACAAGCCCCTAATAGCCAAATAAAAATCTACAAGTTTGCGAACCATGGGTGCATCTAGCATCAGATGACCAAAGTATTATCTTGATTTATGATGGTTCATTAGCAGTTATTATGGCCTTCTGATCAGAGTCAAAACCAAGTCATTGTGTAAAGTGAACTTAACTACTGTCTCCAAGGAAATGGACATGTTAAGGTTGATTTGTTAAATAAAAGTTAAGTTTATCTAGGAATCTGTGATTTGTTTATTGATCAACATATGTTCAGTAAGACACTATAAGATAAGATGGTGACAATATCATGCCAAGAAATCACTGTACCTCTTCATCTAACATGTTGACGTATGAACTATCACCACATGTGCTGCCTGTATCAGACATATCATCAAAGTCACTACCTCCATCGACTTGCTCATCTTCGGGATTCCAAATATACCGGCTCATAAAATAACTGGTGTCATGCGCTTCGGCAGATGGTATGAATGTGGCCTGCAGGAATGAATTCTTATGGCAGTTGTTAAACATAAACAAGTTATTCTTTCAGAGAAAAGTTAGCCACAGCTTAAGTTTAAAAGATCTACACTTTCATGAATTGAGTGGAAGATGAAGAGTTATTCTTCAGAAAAGTATTGACATGAAAGATCAAATTACCTTCTGCCTTGCAAGTGTATCCCAGTGGATATTCCTAAAGAAATGGTGTGTCTTTACCTATTTATAATAAATGACAAATGATTCATGAGCTTCATTAGCCTTTTCTGTTGAATATATTATCATAACTGGAGGAAATTTTACCTCTCCAGCCCCCGTTACACCGAGACGTTGAACTGGATTTTCGGTCAGCAACCTGAAATAAAACAAAAAATTGATGTTTTCAGAAGAGGGAAAATCCTTCACTATTCGGGTCAGAAACCTGAATATTTTTACTATCATTCTTCTGTTCTTTTTTTTTTCTCTATGGCAAGGGCCGTTGTCACCAGTTGTAAAGAAGATGAACTTTCATTGGACATCTGTCTGGTCTTCTTGATTTGGTATTCAAAGGAACAGAATAAAACATGATGGGTTGCCACTTGCATGATTATTGACTATAAGCAACTAATATTGCAAAGAATAAAAATTTAAATCCTAAAACTTACTTGTTAATCAGATCATATGCTTCATAACTCATCTCCTCTGGAACCTTGGGCCATGGTATGTCTCTGTTCATAATATTGGCAAAAACTTGCTGCACCAATACAAGATGATTAGTTTTAAATTGTATACGCATTGCTGACATAACAACAGGAGTTATTGGCTCCTAAACATGCACATGTAACCAAAGGGCCTTTGGCCTAGCGGTATTGTAGCCTTTTGGCCTCCTAGAAGGTCAGGGGTTCAAAACTCACCAAAGGTGAGGAGGGTGTGTGAGTTTATTTGTTGTATTTGCAGTATATAAATATTATATACTTCAAAAAAATATGCACATGTATCATAGATGATGGTCTCCGGTAGCCTAACATTTTGCACAGCTAGTATCATTATTCAACAGTGTAAAATTGAATGATGAAATTGGAAGATTACATAAGAATTTACAGCATTCGGGAGGCTGTTACTCTCCCTACCTCATGCCCTTTACATTTCTACAGAACTCGATACCCTTTTCAGTATCTAGCATCTCTTATTCATACTATCTATGCAAAAGAAAGTAAAATAACCCCTTATTACAAACCCCTGTATTACCCACTTGTACTACTCCCCTGCAGTAGCCACTTATAACAATACTCGCTCACCAACTCTAACCTTGACCATAGGATGAAGACTCTTAATAATTAATCCATAGGATGAGCGTATCCTTGACCTTTTACTACCAGTCAAGCCTGGAATCTGGCAATGTTTCCATATGTCCTATACTTGACGGTGAATATCCATTTACATCAAACCATGAGCTTTCCTTCTGCCGTAAATCGTGTGTCCTTTAACTGACTACCTCCGACCCGGATGTTTTTGTGCCTATTTAACAGAATATGTTGTCCAATGATGAAACAAAGTCCTGTATGATGTCGAGAATCTTTTATAGAAAATATAGTTTCCAATTATGTAAGTAGTACATTTCCGAATGCCTTACCTCAAGGAAATTGGATTATCATAATCATCAACAAGATGAATAACAGATTCACTTGACTCAGTAGTATCCGCCTTCTTCTAGGGAAATTGAACTCAGTCAAATGCTTGGTCGGTGTCTGTTATTTTCTCTTGGTTTTCTCCTATAGGCTTTGATATTGTCAACAGAGTTGAGAAAGAGGCTGAATTTGAGATGACTGAGACTCGTGAGAAGAATTAGGTTATGAGAGAAATGCTCTCCATCCCAAAACAGGAGGAGAGGATAACTATAAATGTACAAAAAAGTTACACTTTGCAGCCCTGAAACAATAAATACATACAAGGGCTAAAACGAAAAAATGAATGATAAATAGGAGACTCTACATATGTCTAATATCCCCCTCAAGCGAGACGGTGGCGGCCGCACAAAGAGAAGCTCTCGAAAGAACTCAAACTGTGTCGAGGGAGGCTTTTGGTGAAAATATCTGCCACCTAAAGCTTGGTAGGAACAAATCGAGTGTGAAGTTTCCCGGACGCGACAAGTTCCCAGACAAAATGATAATCCAAGTCAATGTGTTTTGCTCGTTTATGAGACACCAGATTTTGTGTGAGAAACAGAGCACTCTTGTTGTCACGAAGAAGAGTAGGACGAGCTGGCAGCAGGGCATGAAGTTCACGTAGAAAATGAGTGAGCCACACAATTTCGGCTGCCATGTTGGCCATGGCACGGTACTCAGACTCACAGCTAGAGCGGGAGACAGTGGGTTGCTTTTTGGCACTCCAAGAGACGAGATTACCCCCCAGAAAGATCGAGTAGCCATAGGTGGAGCGACGAGTCTCAAGACACCGARCCCAATCCGYATCAGAGTAACCAAGGATGTTAGCGGACTTGGTTSGGSTAAAGTGCAACCCATATGACATAGTGCCTTTTACATATCGAAGAATCCGTTTAACAACCTGAAAAGGGGGAACCGTCGGAGCTTGTAGGAACTGACTAACTTGATTCACAGCATAGGAGATATCTGGACGAGTAATTGTTAAGTACTGAAGTGCCCCTACCAAGGACCGATAGTGAGTAGGGTCGTGAAACAAGTCACCCGAGGTTGTAAAGGCGATGTTAGCGGCAAGCGGGGTGGCAACTGGTTTTGAATCGAGTAACTGAGCACGCTCCAGGATGTCACGAACATACTTGGACTGACTTAAGAAGAGGCTAGAGTCAGCGTGTGTTACTTCCAACCCAAGAAAGAAGTTGAGGCGACCAAGATCCTTGATGGCAAACTGCGCATGCAACTTATCAATGAATCGCCGGATAAGCTGATTGTCGCTTCCTGTGATAATTAAGTCATTAACATAAACAAGTATAAGATGCACGAGTCGCGTTTAAACACAAACAACGACGTGTCGGCCCGACTGCAGACGAAACCATTTGCCACCAAAAAGTTGCTAAGACGATGAAACCAGGCCCGTGGGGCTTGTTTTAAACCATAGAGCGCTTTATTTAGCCGACAAACATGATCTGGGCGACTGGCATCCTGGAAACCTGGCGGTTGTTCCATAAAAACAAGTTCATTGAGGTCCCCTATTAAGGAAGGCGTTGTTAACATCGAGCTGATGTAGTTTCCACTGTTTAATAGCAGCCAAGGAAAGAACAACACGAATAGTGGACGCTTTAACCACGGGACTGAACGTTTGAGAAAAATCGAGGCCCGGAATCTAATTGAACCCTTGAGCAACGAGACGAGCTTTGTGTCGTTCAACGGAGCCATCGGCATGATACTTGGTGCGATATAACCATTTACAGCCCACAACGTTATGATGAGGTGGTCGGGGAACAAGCATCCATGTTTGGTTACGGCGGAGCGCATCCATTTCTTTGTTCATAGCGGTCACCCAAGCGGGATGTTTGACGGCCGTTTTGAAACTGCGTGGGTCAGTGGCACCGAAGAGAGCCGAGGAGATGGTTTTGTGGGCCAAGTCCACGCGATGTTTGGGCTTGAAAATGCCAGACTTAGCCCGGGTTTGCATGGGGTGACCACCGGTAGTGGGCTCGACGGTGGGCTGAACAGGAGCAGTAGCATCAACAACCGGTGTCGATTGAACAGTGGCAGGTGCGGGGTGAGTCGGGGCAATGGTAAGAGGAGTCCGATCAGGTTCA